GCGAGCTACGCGTAGAGGTTGAGCTTCCGAATGATCGGCTCCAAATGGCTGCTTGGGGAACTCCCTAATTCGACGCTTCCCACCGCCACGCATCGGTCTGGGGAACTTCCTCTACTTCTTGTGCCTGGATTCAAGGTGCAGCATGTCGCATGTATTGCAGAGCTCGGATTTCTCCATTTTAGGCTTCGCCGTCTCCGCTCGGGAGCCGATCGGTCCCGCGGAATGATGGTTTGTATGAAGCAGATTGGAAATCGACAACTCCGATTCTCTCGGATGCGTCGTAGTCACCCATTCTGCGCGTATCATTTACGGGAGGATCTCCCTTGGGGTCCCAGAGGGTGAGGTACGGCCACCAACATTTTATTCCTTTGCACTCAATGTGTCCCCGGAGGCCTCCATTCTTTGATGCGCTGAACTAAGAATAAGTGTTTGCCGAACTTACTTTTCCGGGATTCGTCTGGGGGAGAGCCTATGGCGGCCTTGCACGGAGAAGCTAGTAGATTCTTGGGGTTATCCAGTGGATTTGGATGCCTTCCACCCTTTATCCGAGAATTCCATCACTTCCACCGCGCATTATGTTCACGTCTTCTTCGTCCATGTTGGATGCTCCGTACAGCGAGTTCCCTTTAACCGCTTCCGTAGAAAAAGTCCATTGCCTTCATCGTGAGCTGGTTCCGGTAGTCCGCACGGTAGTCGCTTCAGCCATGGGGAGTTCTGTGATATCTCTGGTGTGTGACTCGGAATGCCTACGTATCCCGAAACTGGTTCTTGCAATCACGGTGGAGAAAACTTCCATGTTAGATCGAGGTGGCCCCCGGTCGAGCTTCGCCGCATTCAGCTCGACTATGGGCGAGTTGAATGCGGATTCCTTGTCTGACTCCCGGAGAATCCAGGATCCTTCGAAAAGGACAATAGGTCTCCATGTGGATTTTTTCCCGAGACAATCCGAATCCTGATCGGTGCGCACTCCTCCCGGTTCGTATTAGATGATCCTGTCCGCTCATCCTTTCCTTCTCCATGAGTGCCTATTGGTAAATTGACCAAAGCGTTCTCGTTAGGCAAGGTGTTGGACGCCATCTCCATGTTCATGAACCGTCGTGCATCCCTTTCCTGCACGCCTTCCGGGAGTTTCCCGCCCGAAGGCAATATGAGATGATTCAGATGTTCTTGTGCCGTAGAGCAATCGAGGCAATGCTGCTGCTCTCGTGGGTGTTGTCGGGTGATTCGTTTGGTTATCCGTGGCGGTGAAGCCACCGCCGCATTGCCGTCTTGATCGTGTTGCGGAAAGGGGAGAGGGATTCGTCGGCTTGAACTCTGATTGCTTATATCGTTGTTGTGAACGTTGTTGTCGGGATCGATATCGAGGAGGATGCTGACCTTGTTGATGATGATAATGCTCCTATTTACTCGAGAAAGCATCTTGCACGGAGCGGGCAGGCAGACAGACAGACTGGCAGGTAGACGAGCGAGGAAACGAGATCGGTCGGAGAGCAAGTTCCACCGTTTCTCGCCAGCTGCTGGTGTGTACTGCTCCTTCTGCTGGTGCTTCATGCCACGACCTTTGCTGCTGCTACTACTACTACCACTATGACTACCGCTACACAGAGCATTGAATCCTTGTTGTGGTTTACCCCCTAGGAGCTACTTACTTATCTTCTTTCACTATCTGTGCTGTTCGTTACACTTCGAGTACTGCTGTCTGCCGACCGTTGTAAGCTAGAAATACGGGGGAGATCCCCTCTCTGACCACCCCTGAGCATGGTGCAAACACAAATGAAGCAACCGATGTGGTGAGAGAGGAAAGGAGAATGCGGAAGCCAAAACAGATAGCCGCCTGGGATTAATTAGCCTCGTTGCTACCACAAACGTCATGGACTTACAGTGAATGAAATCGAGGTGATCAGGGTCACGGAACCTTCACCATCTCCACCGAGGATTGAATGCCTCCGTTGCTTGGGGAAGTGCGACGACGATGGAAAGTCTGTCCACTGGAACTTCCTCTCAATGTAGTGCGACATCATCGATCGATCGATAGATACATACATCGACGGATCGCCTCAAGGAACTCGCCGAGACGTCAGTCAAACATGATTGCGTCACGCAGAAAACTGGAAAACGCGGTCCACATGACCAAAAACGAGGACGTCTTGTTTTCTCATGCCGTACGTCGGCTCGGACAAGAGAAAGCATCTCGGCGTGCGATCGCAACACGGAAGCGCATGCATCTCATCGGAAGGAGTCTCGTGGAAAAGGAGGCTCCGAAAGAGGCAGAGAGGCATACCTTGAGCGAGGCGTGAGAGCATTTCAAAGAAAAAGAGCGAAGGGGCAGACAAACGAGCGGGCGGTCTTGCCGACGCACAAGCAGAGAATACAGCGCGTGAATTTCGAGAAGAAACTGCGGCGTCACCTTATCGTATACGATGAAGTAAGTTCTATTTGGAAAACATTCATTGTTTCATACTACCACCAATCATTACGACTTGGATTGTTCATGATGAATACTGTTGTTGTTGTTCTTGCTGCTCTCCACAATGAACGTGAAAAAAAGCTCTGCTTTCGGGTGCACGGATATCTTATTTGTTACTGCTGATGTTCATAATGGTGATGATGATGATGAGAATGACGATATTCACAATGACAGCCACTTCAGTGAAAACAGTGATGAAAATGAGCGCGATTCTTAAGATCTCTCAGCCAGTTCATAGTAGAGCACCTATACCCCCTCCCGTGTTCTCGTCTCGCCCCCTCATCCTGGTGTTTTTTCTGACCATCTTATCTTCGCCCTCTGAGATCGTTTTCTCTCTCCTTCTTCGCGGCGCTCATTTTCTAATCTCCGATGAGTCGAAATCAGATCATGACGGACATTGTTGGGGTTGGAATTGCTGTTTGTGTTCTTCCAAGACGAGCTGATGCCGTCATTGAATGAGAAAAGGCTGCGCGTTGGGAAACGGCCGCCCACCCTTTTTGACAATACGCAACTCACAAGAATCGAGGAGTTTACCTCTTCTGAAGACTGTGCGCAAAGAGAGCTTCAGCGTAACGACGCAGGCATGCGCTCATGTGAATGGTAAATCAATCTCGTGTCTGCTGCAAATAGGCGTATGAACACCCTTGATATGACGGAATCAGATTGACGTTACGGTGGCGGCTCGACTATCGCCCGCGCCGAATGTCACTGGGTGCATGAGGCAGAACCTTTTTATTCGACGACTTCTACTCCAATTCACTCGTTGTGGATCACGATCCAAGCGAGGCGACGCGAGACGGATCTGCGAACTAGGAGCTTGCACACGCTGGGGACGCCGGGAACTCCAGCAGCGTCTCTCCAGAGTCGCCTGTCCCCTCGGAATCATATTCTTCATTAGGACCGCATGACTTTGGAGTTTTCTGTAGTCAATGTTGTCGAGAGAAGCCTAGATCGTAGAACGGAAATTTTGAAATAGTGCACTCTGCTACACAGATCTCTTTCATCTTCTGCTACAGTCGATTCGGGGGAAATTTCGGAACAGCCATTGAATTTTCTGTCCCAGGGGTGCTTCACGTGCTTCGGGGTCGACTCGAGGCAGGGTCGAAGGGCTGACTGCTTGGATCTCCCTGTAAAGTAATGGAATTCAACAGCAATCTAGCTCGAGGTCGAATAATGAAACCTGCGCTGATTTAAGAACAATAGTTCGACTGAATCCATCGACGAGCGGGAGAGCTGCCGCTGAGCTCCATGGTTTTCGATAGGTATGCTAAATGCCGATTTTTCAACTGCATCTCAATGAGTATGGCTTAGTGGATGATTTGAGCACAAAATACAGCAGCGCGAGAGCACTACGGGTTGGTTGTGGGAATCCCCGCGAATGATTAAAAAATGAAAGGCAGAGTGTGGGTCATACCATTCTATCGAACCCTGGCTATTTCGGCAATCATGCTGCAGGGTGAATTCGACGCAATCGATGGGAGTGGGGAGAATTATTCGAAGCAAGCGTTGAAATCCTCACTTGTTTCCGAAATTCTTCTGAGAGGTTCTAGATCGAGACAATGATTTCGAATCCGTCGAAAACCCGACCGTCTCTGATCGCCGACGAGGAGGCCCGTTCTCCGGACCTCGTATGAAATCATACGGCATCGAATGAAATCCACCATGCCCTCCCAATATCCTTGAGCGGTCTCCGGACAGCTCTTCAGTGAATCTGAAAACGAAAGACCACATCTCTGCCCCCGCTCATTGATGACTTGACTAGCGAGATATCGGAAATTCTTACGATCTCACACTAACGCGAGTAACCTTTGAAGGTGAATTTATCTCATCGGCAAGTAAGTACGAAACCGTGTTTTGGGTTGTGGATTGGTGACGGTGGATTTGTGGCTGTAAAGTGTGCGCTTCGAGATTGGCTGCCTTGGTTTGTGTGTGAAGAAAAGAGGCAGCGGTATTCGAAATTGCGGTGCTCCGAATGTAGGAGATGAGCTACAGTTTCAGAAGAGAAAAGCGACTCGATTCCCGATAATAATCCATCCTGGAACAAGTCCCCTCCTTATCCAAATGACCCCTGAAAAATATCTCCTACAACTACAGTATTCCCGAGCGGAATTGTCGGCTGTCCGCCTCCCACCGAACTCAAGCGGAAAATAATGGACTTATAGTATCTCAGTCTCCAACTGTCCGATAGGGAGAGCATATCAAATCATCGGATGGATGATGTTCCCTCCAGACACCAGCGAATCGCTCGCTCAGAATCCCTGGAGTCGGAAAAAATTTCCAAAGTTCCTCATTTGCATCATAACTGCCATTCCAGTCCAATCCAGGGTAGAATTGACCCACACACGTTTATGAGCATACACTGTCACACGGTGATGGGCTTCGCACTGTGCAAAAGCAGGCACCAGGCAAGGGAAATGGATACAAGAACAACAACGTCAACTCTGCATAGTCAAACCTGTCAGTCGAGAAGGTTGACTTCCTGAGCATGGCTTCGGGGGCACGATGCCTAACTATCTGAATGCTTGCTTTGTAGGTGAACAACGCGACAGCTCGGACTCAAACTAAGAAGCCGTCTAACTCAGCAGGTGAGTCCGAGTTTCTGAGCCCGAGCTCCTATCGCTAAAGACCTTCGTTCTGAGATACTCATCTCATTCCGATTTTCGGGGAGGATGGTGGAAGTCTATCGGAGGCTTACGAGTCGTGAGGGCTTTTCCTCTTCCGGTTTGGGTTTTGCCCCCTCCTCTCTCGGTGCGATCCTTCCCTCAAAAAAAAAATACATGTACGCCTGGCTCCCCCGATCCCGACGAATTCCCTTTCGATCAAATTAACATTTGGACTTAATTTCCACAGCGAACATGGCTGCTGCCGCTGCTGCCGCCGCCGAGTTGCCGTTGGTTGCCGCGCTGCGAGGAGCCGCTCTCCAGAGAGGAAGGGCCAGCGCCGCCCTGGCGGCTCAACGTGGTAACGCCACAGCCGCCGCCGCGCAACTGGCGTTGGCGGCCGCCGCTGCGGGCAGACTCGCGCCTTCCCCTCTGGCCGCGCTGACAGCCGCCTATCAGCAAGCAGCTGCCGTCAATGATCCATTCCTCGCAGCCGCTGCCTACGCCAACGCCGCCGCTGCAGCTGCCGCCTCGAGTGGACAAGGTCTCCAGGCCAACTATGCCAACGCTTACAACGCAGCTGTAGCTAGGCAGTACGCCGCCGCCACCCAGCCCTCGGCTGCGGCTACAGCTGCCCAACTCGCAGCCGCCACCGGCTACCCGACTCACGGGATTCCGAACGCCGCCATGTATTACGCCGCTGCCGCCCAAGCAGCGCAAGCCAATGCGTCCGCGTATCCAGCAGCTGCTGCGGCTGCTCAGGCCCAGGCCGCGGATCCGTACCAACTGGCAGCCGCTCAGAACGCCGCAGCCATGGGAAATATGGCTGGATACGGGGTAAATACTCGAATGCTTAAATATCTCAAAGACTCTCGATCATCCGAGTTCTTATTATTCGCCAAATATATATATATCGCTCACCTCACGTCGCCCACCTGAGCTTCATCCTTGATCTAGGGCGGTCCCGTGACTGATTCCTTCGCCATCCGATTCCAGACGATCGCGGCACAAACGGCCGCAGCCCAGAACGCGGCCGCTGGCGCCCAAGTGGGTCAAGGCGCTGCAGCTGCTCAAAATAGTGCGGCCCAGGCCGAAATTCTCCGACGTCTGCAACATTCTCGACTGAACACGACTCTCCAAAACGCAGCCGTATACCGGAGCGGCTACAATCGCTTTACGCCTTACTAAATGTTAGCTCCATCACAACTATTTTTTTATTACAAATGTCATCCCGCGTTATAATTGTTATTATTATTATTTTATTACGAAACTACCAAATGTACTCGAAGCAAGGAATTTATCAGCACCAGGCCACGTCAACGGACGTCTGAGGTGTTGCGATGGGCTTGCTGTTCACCGATGACAGATTGATGAGTTGATCGATCCACCTGAGTTTGTATCACCTGTCAATCGGAAACTTCCACGGAGGAGTGGATATACTAGGTACTAAACGCATCTCTCGACTCCCTCACACATTTGAACAGACAACAGCACACGAACAGACGAACGTCGATACCTTCAACTACTTTAAGACGGAGATTTCTCTAGATACACGAAGATATCGATGATGGTGATGAATACGACGGCGATGATAACGATCAAGAGGGTTGACCCAAAACGTCGTGACGTGTGGAACGCCAGCGGCAGCACGACAAGGGCATGTGAAGGCGATTGAGGCTTGAATTGGCTAACTCGAAGCCTGGAACCAGTGAGCGACGCAGGAGATTTTCTACGATTGAGCAGAGGTTGCGATGACGGGGGTCCTACCTCGATGGCGAGTTGGAGCCCATTCTCCGGGTTGTCTTTCATCTTGTCTGATGATGGCAGCAAGCGTCTGATTTAGTCGAAACGAAACAAATCCGATTGGGAGTGTCTGAGAGCTGGTCAGGATGATGAGCGAGCTTTAGGCCGGATCAAGGGTCTCTCATCCTCATTTATGATCGACCCTCGATCCGGATCCGTGGACCACCCGTTTGCCCGCTGCCAACAAATCATGTCTCATGGAAAGCCTGTTCCGGAACTCACGTGTCTTCGATTCCCTTTGTTATCATTGTTATCATGGTTTTGTTAGTACCGACATAATGCCTCTCATGAGCCAACGATCGTTGCCACTTCACGATCGATGTCGATTCCTCCTTTTGACACCTAATCACTCAGTAAGCTACGCGCGATATCATACTCCGAATCTCAGTTTTGTTATCATCTTATCTTCTATCGATAGGCGATGCTTAGACAATACGGAGCGACGCTAGAAAGGGTAATTCAGTTCCGCGAAAAGTTGTTGTGTCATGCCTCCGCCCCCCTTCCCCTCGACGACCTCGCCCGATTGTGCAGCAAGAAACGAAATTCATCCTGACGCCCCGAATCAAGTACTCCTGGCCAGGTCGATCACTCGAAGTAGCACGGGGCGGAAATTATTTCACGCACGGGAAAGTCGCACGATGCTGATCGACGCTTAAACGTCTGATCCAGCCCAACCCACTCATGTGTTCGAGATTCGGTGAGAGTGATTTAACTTTCTCTCTCACCGTTCGTACTCCGCGTAGTGTGTCGGAAGGTGTACTTAGTGATCAAGACAAGCTCAGTTTCGATCGCACCAGGACACATACAACGAATGCCAATACTCTTTTTCAAGTTCACTTCAACGCCTTTCATTATATCGATCGACGGCTCGTAGCTCTCTGTATTCAATCATTGTGAGCTCCATACCGTTAAACTGTGTTCTCTTCTCCGCTTTTCGGAATATTCTGGATAAGATTTTCATCATCAATATCCTCGATAGCGGAATGATGACTTGTATTACGATTGAGATGATCAACGAAGCACGTGCTCCCCGTCTGTTCCTTTCACCATCCATCGAGTGATACTTCCGATCACACATCCAACAAAGCACCCAATCCTTTGATCGTTCCACCAATCAACGCCATGATGAAAATACCCACCCATGCTCAAACATGCTAGTCTGCTACGTCGGTGATTGAATCAATTTTTTTTCTTTAACGAGATTCGTTTCTCGACTTCGTGCCGTAGGCCAAAGGAGACCATCCAAACCGAGCCGCAGCTGATTTCTGCAGCGCTGGAAGCCGAATCGACCGGAAATGAACGATCTGTGGTCATTGTTCTAAAACCACACTTGTTCACATACCGTCTTCGACAGCTGAGCGCCGACCGTACGGTTGAAAAGCAAACAGGCTCAGAATTTCAGTCCGCTGCGACCTCAGTCCATAGCGATCGGTCATCATAGCTCCGCCGCGGTTATCACCATGCGAGCTGGCACTCGCCCGGGGTGGGAATGGGAACCTCGAAGTTTCTTCTTTACATCAAATAGCCCCTCGAAAGCCTGTCTAGTTCTGTATTCTGATAGAGATCCCTCATTATCTGAATGACATCAAGGGAACTGGAGTTCACTTCTACAACGGCATCCGAACTCAATTAGAGGAGGAGCTGTCTCCTCGAACGAATGAAGAAAAATGGATGAACTTCTAGAAGCGAGCTCGCAGAACCAAGTACGCGATACAGTATAGACCTCGGCGAATAGATTGTGTGTAGAAAACGACGGTTCTGGAAATTAATGCAGGACAGACTGTCAGAGAGGAACTACGGAACCAACGAGCGGAAGAAAAAGTTCAGGGCACTGGCCTCGATCGTGTAAATCAACCCACATGAGGTGAAACTTGGAGGACGGATAAGAGAGAAGCTCGTCAGTTCCTTAGCATTACGGAGCAGGATTGGCCCGAATAGACAAACCCGACTAGACAATTAGTAGAACATGCATTAGGCAGCTGTAGAAACGTCGCATACGAACTTGAAGAGAACGCCATGAAGAAAAGGGAGCTCAGCTCCCCGGTAAAAAATATATACTATATCGTACTTGGTCCCGGGGATCCCTGGCAAGTCGTTGGCACCCAGGCCATCCCATCTTTGCGGTCGCCCGGAGTCCTCCGACTAAACATAGGAATAGGCTATCGCGCTGTTAAGATATCTCGGTACGGAACGGTCGTAACAAACCAGATTGAGGCGGAACGAAGGCTCAGATGAAAAAATTGAACCGTTGTCGCTTGCTTCAGCAAGAGCAGCTTTCACTTCTGGATTACAACCTATTGAAGTTGTCGATACTAATGACGGCGATGACCGACTTCCATAGAGATTGGAGCCGAGCAGTCATTGACAGAAGATGGAGCCCGAGGTCGCTCCGGAGTTTGATTTGGCCATGATTCCGTGAATTGCGACGCTTGTTCCAAGAGAGCGAGAACCTCGAGAGAACCGCAGAATGAGTATCCTTCACGGAGTGGTCTGGGCATTGTTCAAAGAACTTCAGGGGCGGGCTCTTTCGCATCGAAATGTCAAATATCGATCGAGATGCTAGCCGATTCGAAACCTTACTCACTCAGCTCCGCGCAGATTGGACGGAGGTTGCGAAAGCCGCTCGTCGAATCTCATTGTGGCGCATCGAGTTCAAACTGACCGATGGTGACCGGTTCCACCGTCAGCCATGTTCTCGCGTAGCCATCTCTTGTATAAAAGATAATCTCAAATTCTCTCGGCGAACTTACATACACTGTGTTCATTTTTATTGGGTATAATGATGATGATAACGGTAATAACTCCCAGGACGACAAGTTTGACGACAATTAATCCGAACCAGATGCGTACATCGGATGGTGGATGACTAGTCTCAACGTACAGACAGGCGGTCATTTTTCACGAATCGCGGATATCCGTCGGAATATCATGAAAGATACAATATTTGAATGAAGTAAGACGAAACGCTTGATCCCTCTGAAAGAAACACTGAAGGACGAACGGCTCCGAGTATTCTACCCGAGAGTCGAAATACCCAGTACCAAGAAAATGGAAGAGTCTTCAGCCCTCGCGGTGGGAATCCGACCTCATCGACGCCCGGCGGGGGTCTCGATCGACATTATCATGAGAAGCATAATTCACACGACAAGAGCGATGAGAACTATCATCATAGAACATGATGACATTATACCCAGCGAAAACGAGTGTGTGAATGTGTGTGTGTGTGTGAACAGGAACCAGGCGATATTTTGAGCGTCACCATATGAAATAACCAAAACTTGGTATCTATCATGATAATAAATACGATTCGGGTCAAAACACCGAGATTCGTTCTCTCTCAAAGCGTAAGATGTTTCAACAGACTCATCGTCAGATAACTCGACAGCGAACTCGATCCAATCTCGGACCAGGGAGCAGGACTACTCCTTATTGCTCACCATTTACCTCTCTTGCGCAGTGAATTCTAGAATTTCCTCCAATATGCATTGTGATGCATGAGATGTTGAATAACCATCAAAACAGGTAGAACTGGACCGTTACTTCGGAGGGAGGTCTCAGAGTAGAGCAGCCACTGGAAGATGCAGACGTATGTACATCTGTAGAGGAAGTCGACAGAGACTTCTCGGCAAGCTTCCGTGGTGGAGGAGCTTCGCGAGGCTGAGCCTTCTGTTCTGATCCAAGGAGCCGAAGAGGAGAGAGGAAGGGATTCGAGTTTAAGGGCGGCAGTCACCTGGACAGATAAGTTCGCGTTTCGTAGAGTCTCGTCAAACGATAATCTGAATAAACGCGAGAACTCTCCAAGCAACGCGAGATCTTTAGTCGACAGCGTAGACGATGGGTGCCCTAGCGTGTTGCTCATTCCGATGTTTGCGTCCGTCGGAAGTTCACTGCTCATGCTTAATTTCCAGGAATACAAGTGAAACTCTCTCCGTGGCGGTCTTCCGGTCGGAGGATCCCAAGCGAATGATGATTTGTGATCGAAGGTCATCTGAACACTGCACGAATGATTTTCTTCATGTATGATTTTAAGTGAGGAAGATATCCGGAGAGTAAACTTCTCTCCTGCACGGGACTACGGTGCCAACCGAGGGTTCGGGGGGTTATTTCCGCCATGAGCTCCAGAGGGCGTAATCACTGGATGTCTCCACAATAATTGCTGGTGGAATAGCAGAGGCGATTCTCCCGGGAGTTTGATTTGGAGCGATAGGGCGATTATCCGTCCGATGCTCCCGCTCATTCACAATACCGCTGATTGCATTAGCGCGTATGGCAGCGTTCCCGCTCTAACACCGATGAGTGCTCGTCTTCCCTTCTGTATGCCACCGTTTTTTCTCCCTCACTCATTCTGACGCGGTGTGCTTTATTCATCACGGATGAACTATCGG